TTCTGGGTGTCCCTCATCACAAGATGCAGTAACACACCCTTCATACAGCAGTCTAGTCAGAACTGACTCATGGCTGACCCTTCAGCAGTTTTTGGGGGTTATAAATTGCACTCATCCGATCCAGGAAGCCCAGGTGTTTATACTAATAATTCCTATTCTGGGAGGTTTTATAATTATATTTTGTTGTTGTTGTTATGTGCCATCAAGTCGCTTGCGACTCATATAAAATATAATAAAATTATATTTTAATTAAGTTTTTTTTATTGTTAGATATTTTATTTCCTCCCTCCTTTTCCCTGTCCCCAGGCCTCCCCCACAATACATCGCTTGTTCCAGATTGTTGTCATACCTATAATTATTTCCTGTTTTGAGCTGTCCAGACAGACACCACCTTGAAAGAAGAAAACTACAGGGCATGTCCCATGATGACTAAGTGCTAATCAGACCCACAGGGAAAAAGGAAGCTTACAGTGTATGTCCTGTGATGATTTAACTAGAAAGATGTCATCACGGAGGCCAGCTGTGTACACTTCCTGATTCGTATAATCTCTGCTTTTGTAGGATAACCCTGCCTCTCCCTCCTGAAAGTGGTAACAGTGATAATGGCTTGAATAGTGTCTTCTCAAGATACGTGTTACAAATCCTCACTACAGGATTTGTGGAGACAATTGCATTTTGGAATGTTGTTGTCGTTGTTGTCAGGTGCCAAGTCGGCCACAAATCATACCCAACTGTGAACAACAGATCTGAGTTTTGCCCTCTCCCGTACAATCCGCAACGTCTCTGATAGGCTCCAGTCCATTGCGATAGTCACTCTATCAATCTATCTTTTTGAGGATCTTTTTTTCCTTTCTCTGACCCTCCGCCTTTCCCAGCATGACATCTTTTTCCAAGGTCTACACCCTCCTGACAACACACCCAAGGGATGTGAGACCAAGTTTCCCTATCTTTGCCTCTAAGGAGCAACTTGGTTGCACTTGGAGAAAACTCCAAGATAGGTTTGTTTATTCTTTTGGCAATCCCATGGGGTAGTCAGTAGTCTTCTTCAAAAGCAGAATTCAGACATTGATTATTCCTCTGTCACCTTTGTTCATTATCCAACTATCAGAAGCATAGTAGGTAATTGAAAAGACTATGGGTTGGATCAGATGCAACTTAATCTTCAAACTGACATCCTTGCTCTTTAGCACTTTGGAGAGGTTCTTGAGAGTAGCTCTTCTCAATGCAACGTGTCTTCTGATTTCTTGACTGTGGCTTTTCTGGATGTTGATTGTTGTTGTTGTGTGCCATCGTGTTGCCTGTGACTCATAGTAACCCTATATACACTAGCTCTGAACCCTGCCTTATCTTGAGCCAGTCTCACTGTCTCTGACAAACCTGTGTCTTACCCAGGGTCTTTCTCTCCTGCGCTGTCCCTCCACTCTTCCAAACATGATGTCCTTCTCCACTGACTGGTCCCTCCTGCTCAAAGAATGTGAGACAGAGCTTCAAAATCCTTGCCTCCAAGGAACAACTTGGTTTCACCTTCTCCAGGACAAACCTGTTTGTTCTTTTGGCAGTCCATGGTATGTTCAATACTTTTCTCCAGCACCACAACTTAAAGACATCGATCTTCTTCTATCATCCTTAGTCATTGTCTAGCTCTCTGATGCACTGTTGTTGTTGTTGTTGTTGTGATTGCCGTCAAGTCGAGCGTGACTCATAGTAACCCTATGAACAAAAGACCTGAAGCCTTTCTATAATTATCATCATTTCTCAAAGTTCATAGAGTTTCCAGAGGCATGTTGTTTAGGAAATGGATGCCTCTCCTGCTTCTAAACCTGTCTTAAACTAGGAGCTCCACCAAACACCATCCACAATGGATAACCATTATGACATATGACACCCCAATGGCACAAGGTTCAGCATCACAGTAACCCCAGGTTACCTCAGTACAGCAAATTGACAGAAGAGTGCTGTACCACTTAGAAGAATGTTCCTCCAAAACATAGTAACAGCTGACTTAAGTACTAAGGCCCTCCATGAAGTCTTGTTGAATCTAAATAATAGCAACTAAGTAAATGTTGATTGTAGGTCCAAATAAAATGAAATCATTGACAGCTTCAATCTTTTCTCTATCTATCATGATGTCTATTGGTCCAGTGGTGAGGATTTTTGTTTTCTTGATGTCGAGATGTAACCTATATTGGAAGTTATAGCCTTTAATCTTCCACAGCAAGTGTTTCAAATCCTCTTCACTTTGTGCAAGCAAGTTTGCATCATCTAGCGTCATCTACATAACACATGTTGTTAACGAGTCTCTAATTCCACATCCTTCTTGATGTAATCCATCTTCTCAAATTATTTACTCAGCATGCAGATTTAACAGGTACTGATGAAGGATACAACCTTGACACATACCGTTCCTGATTTTAAACCATGCAGTGTTCCCTTGTTCTGTTTAGAGAACATTTTCTTGTTTTATGTATAAGTTCACATAGGTTTAATTAAGTGTTCTGGGATTCTTCTCAATGTTAGCTATAATTTGTTATAACCCACAGTCAAATGCCTTTTCATGGTCACTAAAATACTAGTAAACATCTTTCTGGTTTTCTCTGCTTTCAGCCAAGATCCATCTGATGTCAGCAATGATATTCCTCATTCTGTGGCTTCATTTGACTCCAGCTTTAATTTCTTTCTAATGACCTTTTAATTTTTTTCATGGATGATGTCCTTGATGTCATCCCACAATTCATCTGCTCTTCTCAATCATCAGTGTTCAGTAAATGAAATCTAGCTTTGAGAGAGTTTTTAAATTTGAGTAGGATAGACTCAAACTCATAATTTGGTTCATTCATTTTGGAATAGGGTTCTCTTTGTTACATCAGTGAGGTCATGTAAGTGTAGGATGTATCTTTATCACCTTTGACAGATAAAGGAGTAGATTATGCAGTTATTATTATGCAGCTGTTTGAGTTGAAACAGACCCATAGTTGACCCCCAGCAGGTTTTCAAATCACGTGGGAATTGATTGCCCATCTTTCTCCCAAAAGAGCAACTCGCTGGTGGATTGGAACCGCATACCTTTGCAATGGCAGCACGATTCCTTACCACTAGGCCACCAGAGCACGCAGATTATACAGAGATGGAGAGAAGCAGACACAATATGAAGATCACCAACAAGTTAAAGACCAGAAGCTGTAAAGAGACAATGGAACAGAACCAAACGACAGAGTGCCTTCTCTGAGATCCAGTGCCCAATTTCAGACATGTAGCATCCAAAACTGTGAGAAAATGGACTTCTGTTTATTACAGTCACTCCCTTAGGGAGCCATGGTAGCCTAGTGGCAAGAAGCTGTGCTGCAACCCTGAAGGCGCACAGTTTGAATCCACCAGATCCTCAGCTGGAGAAAGAGACAACACACACAACAATGATACACAACAAAATTAAAAAAGGACGAAATTAAAGTCACCCCCTGTGTAAGGGCATTGGATCCTCATGCGTTGGAATCAATTCCATGGCGCTTAACTACAAGAAGCATGTAAAGATGCACAATGTTGTTATTCACCGAGGAAATGCAAGCCCACAGTGAAATACCACACACCTATCATTAAGGCCGTTCAGTCTGCTGTGATCCTGGTACGACAGAGCTAAACGCTGTCTGATCCCGGGCCTCTCTCACTCTCTCTGCTGTGTGTAAGTCTACTGGTGTAGTATCAGCCCATCTCATTTGGGGTCTTCCTCTCTTTAGCTGACCCTCTACTTCTCCAAGCATGCTGTCCTTTTTCTGACAATAATAGACCTACTGTTTTTGGGGTTTTTTTAAATATTTTAATTTTTTTAAAAATTGTATTACTATTTTGTGTGTGTGTGTACCGTCAAATCGGATCTGACTGGTACAAGAGGAGATTGCCCCTCCTTCTCCAGCAGAGCATCGGGTGGATTCGAACCGCATATCTCTGGGATTGCAGTGCATATAGATCTATTGTTGTTGTGTTGACATGTCATCAAGTTGGAGCTGACTCCTAGCTGATCCACTTACATAGCTGTAAATCCCAAGGGAGAAGATTGCCCATCTTTCTCCCAAGGAGCAACTGGTGGGTTCAAACCACCTGCCTTTGGACTGACACCACTAAACCCATCCCTTCTATCAGAGCTCCCTGTGCACCTATTCGTGGTGGTAAGTGCTCAAAGCTGATTCATAGCTGACCGTCCATTGGGTTTTCAGAGGCGGTACATTGCATAGGAGACTGTCCATCATTCTCTTACAGAGCAGCTAGTGGATTTGAACTACGTGCCTTCAGGTTAGCAACACACCTCCTTACCACTAGGCCACCAGAGCTCCCTATTAGAATTTCTAACACCTATTAGAGAGTCTAAACTAAAAGACTGACAGAAGATACAGAGCAATTGGAATTCTAATACACTCTGGATGGGAATGAAACACTGCACAAAAATTGTGCTTAAGAAGTTTTAAAAAAAAATTTACATCTTTCAGATGATCTTGCTATTTTAATTCTAAGGATTTATCCAAGGAAAATAATAGTGTATGTCCGTACAAAGACTTACACAGGACTGTTCATAGAAGCTAGGAATACTCTCATTGACCCAAATATTGAGTGGATGGACAAACAAGTGAATAGATAAACCAATTGTGGCATTCCCAGCGATGGTATGTTGCTGTTAGGTGATGTCTCCTTTCACAATGACTCCACCACCTACAACAGAATGAAATCCTGTACCATCCTTCATCTCTGCTGTGCTGCCAAATACAAAGGTAAGTGACTTGTCAATACAAAGAACTGCTGATACATGCAGCCCCACAGGTGGATCACGAAATAGCTATGCTGAGTGACCGGAGCCTGATACTACTGTCCAATTTTACAGGCTGTGTTAGAGCTTCCGTTCTGAAGCATTTGGTCTGTGCAAGGTAGAGGTCTATAGTGGTGTCCTAAGTCCTTTTCAATTCTTGACCTAGGTTCAGATGCCGTTTGAGTCCTCTCTGACCAGAAAACCGGCCATGTGGTTTGCCCCCATGCAGAGTGCGGTGGATAGTGAATGGCAGTTCAGGTAAGTGTCAGGAGGGCTGCGTGAAGCACCAGGGAGCTTGCCTGGGTGTGTCCTTCATGACCACTGAGTCAGAGCTCTGATTGTCACGTAGCCAGGTGGCAGGAAAGCCAGGACCAATGCTGTCAACTTTCTTAATCTGCGTGTACATATATATCCCAATCAAAGAGTGATGGATTGTAATTGCCACCAGTCATGATCCGGCGACAATTTCCTTTGTCTCTAAATTGTCTTTAAAAAGCCATAACGTTGATTCATTGGTATCCCTTTGTCACATGCCGATGATGTCTCTCATCCTGGAATGATTCGTCTGTCTTTTTCCTGTTTATGTCTTAATAAAAGACTTTGAAGAATGTCTCTGAATCCTTGAGCCCTATATAACATCCTCCCCCTAAGAACAGAATATAAGATTATAAAAAGTAGACTAGCCCTGGTGTGGTTTCCTTGGCTGGGTCTTTGGGAGACCTGTGGGCATCCCAATAGGCTGATGGCTCTGCTGAAGGACAGGTGGCTCCAGCCCCGAGCCTGGCTGGGGCTCCTGGACACCTGGGGCAGGACGTGCGGTAACGAGTATCCGCAGAGTAACATCAAGCGCCTGAGCATGTCGGCCGGCGTGCAGCTCATCCTTCGGCGCATGCTCAAGGGGCACAAGTCACTGAGCCATTGACCATCACAGAGCTGCCCTCCAGACGTTCATTAAAGGTTTGTCCTTGGTGAGCTCTGGTGGCCTAGTGGCAAGAAGCTGCACTGCAATCCCAGAGGTGAGTGGTTTGAATCTACTAGATGCTCTGCTGGAGAAGGAGTGACAATCTCCTCCTGTACCTGTCAGATCTTATTTGATGTTACACGTACACAAAATAATTAAAAAAAAAAAACAACAAAATACACTTTGTCCTCACCTCGGACTTCCTCTGGATTTTTGTTTTATTTTCACAGAGAAGATAACATACTCCAACGTCAATGGGCTCCCAATTTCGTGGTTGGTGCAGAAGAAAGAGATTGAGGGTGAGACACTGAAAAGGGTGCAATCAAACCTTGTAAAATCTCTTTCTTTAAAAATATTTGTTGTTAGAAGAACTTTGAACATACACATCCACAAAATAATGAGTGACTTGTTCCCTCGACCACCGTCAACCAACAACCCATGCTAAATTCCTCATAATTTCATAATATCTCAGAGCCTTTCATTTGTTGTGTAAGTAATTTAAAATATTTTCCCATGAAGATAAAGACTGATAATCCCAACATTTGCTATACTTGAAAAATTAGTAATTAATTAATGTCATTAACTGTTCTCAATTGTTGTTGTTATGTGCCATCGAGTTGCTTGTGACTCATAGCGACCCTATATACAACAGCACTAAACTCT